TCAATACTGTCTTTGAGAGGAGTTTAAAGCCTAATCTGGAGACTCGCTCTGAATGGTATTAGTCGCGAAATGATGAACCGATTGGAAAATTTAAAAAAAAAAGATTGATTTAGTGATTACAGGTTTCTACAGTTTTCATATGGCTTTTTCACCATTTTGCCCCTTATTAATTAATTAATAACTATTTTGCCCCTGATTCGAAACTATCTATCAATCTGCCCCTCTTTAATCGACTACCTTGCATTTTTAATCGACTAAACGGTTGTTGGGAGATTTAATCGACTAAATCTCTCTACTTAATCGATTAAAATCATACTGACTTATTTTTTTTTTGTAAAATATGAAGATTTAGTCGATTAAATAGGGAGATTTAGTCGACTAAATCTCCCAGCAGCCATTTTTTGTCTGTTTTGGCCATTTAGTCGATTAAAAATGCAAGGTAGTCGACTAAAGAGGGGCAGATTGATAGATAGTTTCGAATCAGGGGTAAAATAGTTATTAATTAATTAATAAGGGGTAAAAAGGTGAAAAAGCCGTTTTCATATGGTCATAGATTTGAACCTTAATACCACCATTATATATAAAAAATCATATAAGATTGAATGATTACAGAAAATTGAATTAATTTTTTTTTTTTTCTGAATTGGAGCATTGCAACTTTATACAAGTTATTTTTCATTCTTCATTATAGGTTCTTATTACAAAATATATTGACTCTCGCACAAACAACCATATTTCACTATTGAAAATTTGATTCTCCCATACATGCTCATGATTATGGGGTCATTCACATCATGTCACATATTTTAAAATATTTTCTATATTATTTATCAATCAATTATTATAGCTATATATTAATAATTTATTAGAAAAATATAATATAAAATAATCAATGTAACGTTACCTAATAACTAAAGCTTTTGAAATTCGAACCACGTAATACCACATGAGCGGCAAAACTCTCCCTACCAAGTTTTAGCATAACTGCTTTACCAGGACTTGACCTTGCGACCATTAGATAAGTTTGAATAATCCCTTACCAAATGATCTACATATTTGGTGGTGAATTGATTCTTTATATATGTGACCAAGTGAGTTCAATTCTCTCTGTCCTATTTTATTAACAAATAATTAAATATTTTAATTTTTTTTAACATAGATAGAAGGGGTCTGTACATTATCTACACTTAAAGCCCAATAGACTTTTATATGAGAAGATATATTTGAAAATATAATATAAAACTATTAATAAAAATCACATGATTTTTTTCTTTTGTTACTCTTGACTCTTTCTTCTCTTCAAAACTCATCCATATTATTGCCATTTTCAAAACTTACTGTATGACTCCGTATATCTTCAATTTTCGCACAAGATTGATATATTTTGCTCTTGCTCAAAGCTCTTCTTTTTTATTGTTGTTACTTTGTTATCATTATAATATATATTCTATCTAATTTTTTTATAAATATTTTATCTTTTGATTTATGTATTTATTTTAACTTAAAAATATCAATACATTATAGAGATACTTACTGGTTATAATAATTAGTAATATCCTATTATTGTTGGATGCCAAATATTAGGAATTACGTAATATTAAATTTATAATAAATATTAATACTAGACATCCAAAGCTCCATCAATCATCACTTGTCTTATTGGGCAAGAAATGTGTATGTCGGGCAATGCTTAAATGAGTTTTCCTTATAAGATTTTTTTATTTTTAATTTGAGTTTTGCATTTGTCATGTTTCATGATAAAAGTTAAATTTTTTACATATGCATAGATACTTGTGTTATATATTTTTTTCTTTTTATTTTAAAAATAATGGATTCCACAATAATAGTCTCTATAGCATTATATAATAATTGTCATATAATATAATACTTGTTTTTCCCTTTTAATATAGGGCAATTCTTTTTGTACTTTTATTAAGGATGATAGTGCACAAGAGAAAACGACTGAGAGCTGACCAAAATTTAAAATAGTTATTTAGTATATTCCAATGGTAAAGTGCCGCCGATGGATGGTGTAAGCATTATTTTATCATATTCTTCTCCATTTATAATATATTATATTTTGTCAAGTTAAAGAGTTAAAGAAAAATAAAGTCAAATGTTGTCAACAATACTAAGCAAGTTTTTTAGCCTTTAACTAATAAAAAATTATCATTTTTTCTCGTTTATAAATTATTTCAAAAATTTAACATTCTCAACAAACATAACACCAATCTATCCCTGTTTGATTATTGACCACCCATTAGCACGGGTAAACCACTCGGTTACCCGGGTAGAAAATTATTTACTCGGGTACACACCCGGTTACCCTGATACATATCCTTATTTACTCTGGTACACACCTGATTATCCTGGTACATATCATTATTTATCATGGTACACACTCAGTTCCTATGATACATATCCTTATTTTTCAAGCTCAACCGTGAATCCAACTCAAAAGACAAACAATAAACTGTAAAGTAATAATAGGAACCTAGTAGAACCAAAAGACAAAAAACATGTAAAACATATGAATGTACAATTCAATGGCCTTCTCAGATAACCAAATTACAAAAAAAAAAGTCGTGTTAATCCCATCATTTTGAAAATTTCAAAAATTATATTTTATATTTTAACCAGTTAATATTAAAGCTTTTAATTTTTATAAAATTTTTGTCTTACTTCACATTAATTTTAAAATATATACATAATTTCACTCTTATTCACAAAAAATTATGGATATGCAATGATGTCTTTATGCCTTATAGACGAGCGACTCAGTGTGCATACCTCACTAACACTCGCTCTAGCTAAAGCGAATGTTTTCTTGACAAATTTTTCATACAGACTACAAACACATTTAACCACGTTTTCTTCATTGATGGATTTGAGTTGGATTCACGATTGGGCTTGGAAAATAAGGATATGAGTTGCATAATTGTGGACCTTGTACTTAAACCTTTATCTCCACAGAAAATGGTGATACCTCCCTGATTACTGGCCAAGGATCTATTTCTTTAACTCCAAATATTTTTTTAGATTCTGTTCTAGTGGTTCCTTCTTTGGAATTTAATCTGTTATCTGTTTCCAGAATCACTGACTCCTTGAAATGTTCTGTTTCTTTTTTCCCTGATTGCTGTATTTTTCAGGACATCTCAACACAGATGAAAATTGGTTATAGTGTTAGGCGTGGTAAATTGTACTTCCTGGAGACTACTCAGACATCCGTTTCTCTTTCGATCCAGTCTTCCAATACTGCTGTTGATAAAGCTGCTCAATCTATCTGGTTATGGCATAATAGATTAGGACATCCCTCCCTTACTTATTTGGAAAAATTGTTTCACAAGTTTTTTTCATCTTTCAATAAGTCTGATTTTAAATGTAACACATGTGAAATGACCAAAAGCCATCGTGTTCCCTATTTTCCCAGTCTCAATAAAAGTATTATTCCTTTTCAAGTTATTCATTCAGATGTTTGGGGCCCATCTAGGGAATCATCACTCTCTCAAGCACATTACTTTGTTACTTTTATTGACGAATGTACCAGACTAACTTGGGTTACTCTTTTAAAACACAAATCTGAAGCCTTGAATGCTATTAAACGATTCCACTCTATGACTCTCACTCAGTACCAGTCTAAAATTCAAATTTTACAAACTGACAATGGCACTGAGTACACCAGTTAGAATTTTAATTCCTTCTTGGTTGAAAATGGCATCAAACATCAAACATCTAGCACGTATACACCACAACAGAATGGCCTAGCTGAGAGAAAAAAATAGGCATTTGTTAGAGGTTGTTAGAGCTTCCTTATTAGGCATGAATGTTCCTAAGAGATTTTGGGGAGAGGCATTAGTTTCTGCTGCCTACATGATTAATAGAACACCATCTAGTGCTCTGAATTTTCAAACACCTCAACAAACACTTGAATCCCATTTCTTAATTCCTCATGTTCCTAATCTAGAGCCTAGAGTCTTCGGATGTTGTGCCTATGTTCATACACCAAAAGTCCTACGTCACAAATTAGATCCTTGTGCTGCAAAATGTGTGTTTGTAGGATATTCGGAAACTCAGAAAGGATATCGATGTTTTGATCCAATTTTGCGTAAGTTACATGTTACCTTGGATGTGTCCTTTCATGAACAGGTACCTTTTTTTCAGGGGGAGAAATCAATTCTTCTCCTTAGGGGGAGACCTCCTCTTCTCAAATATGAGGAAAAGTACTTCTCAGAGTTGTTCCTCCCTCAAATTTAAATCCATTTGAAGGTACACCTAACCTGGATACAGCAAGCACCAATACAGCCCCTGAAGACCGAATAATAGAATCACAAGCTGAAGACCCACAACTAGCTCCAATAACCGAATCTTCATCCAGAGATGATCCTGAACAGCAGCATGTTTCCAATACTGAGGTAATGTCTGAATCAATTACATCTCTCTCACCTCTGAACATTCAAACAGAACCTCCAAATAGATACTCTCTAAGACCAACTAAAGGAATTCCTAGGAAAGTGTATGAACCTGACCTACAGGCTAAGGCTAAGTACCCCATAAACAATTATGTATCCACTCATAGGTTATCTAACTCATATGCTTTATTTGTAAATCAGTTATCTGCTGTATGCATTCCTAACAATGTGCAGGAAGCACTTGGAGACCCAAAGTGGAAAAATGCAATGAATACTGAAATGGAAGCCTTACAAAAAAATTCAACCTGGGAGCTTGTTCATCTACCTAGAGGAAAAAGAAACATTGGATGTATGTGGGTATATACAATAAAACTAAAGGCTGATGGGAGTATAGACAAGTACAAGGCACGACTAGTAGCTAAAGGGTTCACTCAAAAATATGACATCGACTATGAGGACACCTTTGCACCTGTAGCCAAGTTGAACACTATTTGCATCCTTATTTCTCTTGCAGCAAACAGAAATTGGCCTCTCAAATAGTTTGACGTAAAGAATGTATTTCTGAATGGGGATCTCGAGGAAGAAGTGTATATGGATATACCACCGGGAATCAACATAGAAGCCGCAAATGAATCAAAAGTATGCAGACTAAAAAAGGCATTATATGGCCTTAAGCAATCACCTAGAGCATGGTTTGGAAGATTTTCAACATCTATGAAAAAGTTTGGGTACAGCCAAAGCAATGCTGACCATACTTTATTTATTAAGAGGAAAGAGGAAAAGATCACTGCTCTGATAGTATATGTTGACGACATGGTGCTCACTGGAGATGATTTAGAAGAAATGGAGAAATTGGAAAACTACTTGAATACCGAATTTGAAATGAAAAGCTTGGGAGAACTAAAATATTTCCTGGGGATCGAAATCTCAAGATCAAAGCAAGGAATATCTCTTTCACAGAGAAAATACACTCTGGACTTGCTAACAGAGACAGGGATGCTGAACTGCAAACCAACAGGAACTCCTATGGAAATGAATCACACACTAGGTATTTATCCTGACCAAATAGCTACTGATATTGGGAGGTACCAAAGATTAGTAAGGAGACTGATCTATCTATCTCACACACGACCAGATATTGCTTATGCAGTAAGTGTGGTAAGTAGATTTATGCATTCTCATAGTATTGATTATATGGAAGCAGTATTTCGAATTTTGAGGTATTTAATGGGAACAGTTGGCAAGGGTTTATTATTTAAAAAAACCAATATATCCTCCATTGAAGGTTACTGTGATTCAGACTGGGCAAGGGACAAAACAACTAGGCGGTCAACCTCAAGATACTTTACATTTGTAGAAGGAAACTTGGTTACTTGGAAGAGTAAAAAACAAAAGGTGGTTGCTAGATCTAGTGCAGAAGCAGAATATAAAGGAATGGCACAGGGTGTTTGTGAATTGCTTTGGATAAAAAAAGTTCTGTAAGATTTGGGTTTGTTCCATAACCAACCTATGAATCTACATTATGACAACAAGGCTGCCATAGATATTGCACACAATCCTATCCAGCATGTTGAGGTTGACAGACACTTTATAAAAGAAAATCTAGATGAAGGTACAATCCACTTTCCATTTACCAATTCTCAAAATCAACTTGCTGGTGTGCTAACCAAGGCTGGATCCACAAAAGTGTTTCAAGAAACAATAGACAAGTTGGGCATGATTAATATTTTTGCACCAACTTAAGAGAGAGTGTTAAAATATGTAACTTAAATTACTGTTAGGTTGTTGTTAGACTGTTATGATTTTGTAAATATCAGTTCAGATTATTAAATTAGTTGTTATTTTATCCTATTTATTAGCAGGTTGATTGAAACTACTCTTGTATATATAAAGACCTCACTTTGAGGAAGAGAATTAATGAGAATGAATGTTACTGTATTGCTGTTCTGGTGTTTAATTTTTGACATACTAGGGTAAATAAGAATATGTATCAGGGTAACTGAGTGTGTACCAATGTAAATAAGGATATGTACCAGGGTAACCGGATGTGTACCAGGGTAATTGGGTGTGTACCCGGGTACATAATTTTCTATCCCGGTAATCGGGTGGTCTACCCGGGTAGTTGGGTGGTCAACGGTCAAATAAGAGTAGATTGGTGTTATGTTTGTTGAGAAGATTAAATTTTTGAAATAGTTTATAAATGAGGGCAAGATGATAATTTTTTATTAGTTAAAGGCTACAATGATAAAAAAGTCATAATAAGCAAGAATAAAAAAATAGCAAATTGTTAAATATTTCAATTTTAAGCAAACCAAATTGTTAGGGATAAGGAAAGCATAGAATGACTAAATTAAATAATTCAATAAACAATTTGAGAAAAATAAGCAGAAGCGGATAATTTAAGATTTTATAAAAAATTATCTGATAACGAACTTTAGATTGAGTAGTATTATCTGGTTCAAGGTCTCTATCAAAGCATGAACATTCATTACTTTTCAAGAATAGAGCCCTGCAATTATTTCAAGATTGGAGTCTTCACATAAAGGAAAAAATTTAAGAAAGTAAGAAATTAAAAGTAACTAGGGACAAAGAGCACAACTTTGAGTGGTGTTCTAAGCTGCTACGTATCTATCATGGTTGGAACCAAAGAACAATGGTAATTAATTCAACTCTCAATAATGGGACACGAAAACGTCGTATTCGACAATAGCATCCCCTTTGGTGAAATCGACGGAGTAAAACTTTCCCTGAGCATAGCCACGTGCAAATCGGAAAGCCCCTGTTCCACCGACAATTGGCATCTCCCTCACAGGGTATCGCAGGATCATGTTCCTTCCCAACACGCTGAGTGTGCTACCATTAAATTCCCCTTCCGAAAACGCAAAGGTCATCACCATCATCAACCCCATGTCCTCTTGGGCCTCTTGAGATATTGATGTGTAAATCCCTTGTGCCTTTCCCAACAATTTTGAGTCAGGTTCTGGCCCTGCCGTTAATGGGTCGTCCATCGCCACCACCGTTCCGAATGGCAGTGAATTTTTGGCCTTGCCGTTGGGCTCCGCTACTATCACCATGCTGCGTTTTGGACCCGTCACAACGTCGTGGAAGTAGAAGTGAAGGCGGGTTAACTTCTCTTCACTAAAACCCAACATTGTTGGTGATATACTTTGATAGTATGTGGCGGTCACCAAGGTAGAGAAGAGGAAAGTAAGGTTAAGAGAGATGAAGAAAGTTGAAATTGGGGCTTTGGATTTGGCCATGGTCGATGTTAGCAAACAAAGACAGCGCGCTAATAGCAGCCAATACTAATTAACGTATGAGTAAAGTGGAATGTGTAATGTCTCGTACTCCACATAACTACTTATAGTAGGTAATGTGAGAGAGAAAGAAATTTTGATTGCTGATATTGTAACTGAAAAAACTCAAGTCAAGAGTCTAAATTTCTCTCTTTCAATTATTTTGTTCTTTAGTTGTTGAACAAAAAAAAAATTAAAAAATGACGGCTTGATCACGGTGAAGAAACGCGTGCTGTTTATAGTGACACTGAAAAAGAAAATATATATGTATATATATAAAGAAAGGCTTGTGTGAATAGCAAAATTCTAAGTATTCATGTCGAAAATGTATACCATTTTACATGGCGTCTATGCTACATACGTGTATAGAAACATTTCCGTTTATTATAACGCGGACTGGTGCATGTCTTTTAACTTTTCTTAGACCATTATTCAAATGTGTACAGCTTTCTGGGAATTATAAACACGTGATGGATGGCTTATACAGTCAACCGGTATAGACCGAGTTTTTTGTCCTTTAACAAAAATTTAATTAATAAGAATTTATTTGGATAGGTTTTTTTTTATCTCACCAACTACTGTTTGGTTGTTTGAGTCGAAGTTGAAAAAAATTAACAACGCTACTTTTTCGTTTTGAACCATGATTAATTTGTTGAAAAAAAGTTTACAGAATCGGTAAGAGTTGATTCACCTAATTAACTTTATATTTTTTTTAAGTAATTTGAGTTCAAATTAATATATTTTGTTAATAAGCTATATATAACTTAGTATTTATCATTAAAAATTGATGGTTTGTTTGTTGTAATTTGAAAATAATAAAAGTTTTCTCTCATATTTTTTTTATAAAAAAAATGGCCTAAACTCAGACGTAGAAAGGTAAAAAATCTTTATCGTTTTCTTATTATTATTATTTTTTTTGGTAAACTTTTTTTTAATATAGCAGCTTTGAGCAGTGATCTATTATTTATAATATGTTTTTAAAATTATAATATACATAAACCAGTATTTATAAAAGGTATAATTTTTTTTTGGTTGTAAACTTGTTTTATCTGAACACATGTTTTTAGGATCTTTTATACAATATTTATATAATTTTGGCACACATTTGATTGGTTCTTAAAAGAAGCACAAATAACAATTTCTTTAATATAAAAATTTGTCAAATTTCTATGCGTAAAATTAAATGAAATTTATAAGATAGTAAGAAATTTAAAGGACTTTATCAGATGCTTAATGTGCCAAAGGGGGTGGAGGGACGTTAGTAGTATCATCTAAATTAGAAATAAGTTTATTACAAAAAAAAAAAAAAAATTAGAAATAAGTTATACTTACAATCTATTTTCGTTTACAATTATAAGTATTTTATAATTATATTTTAACCGTTGATTTCTGTCAATCAAATATTATTATTTTCTCAAATCAAACATATTAATTAATTATTAATTCGTAACAAATGATAATCGTTGATTGACGGTAATCAACGATCGAAATATGATTGTAAGAGATAATAAACGAAAAACATGTCGTAAATGTAACTTTTATCTATTATAACTATGGGAAAATAGTGTGTCATTTTAAGAGAGAGAAAGAGATAGATAAAGGAAGAGAGAGAGTTGACAAAAAAAAATAAAGGTGAGGGTTCCACCGCTTTCTGAGAGTGAAAGGATATAAGTTGTGTCATTTAAAAGGATAAACATGTTTTTCTATAACTATTTAGATTAACAATTAATGTAAAGATATATTTTTAGGTTTATCATCTTTAAACGGTTTTTTAGAGTCAGATATATTTTGAAATTTTAATATCTTACACACCAATTAAATATTATAATGATTAATTAAGAATCTCTCGTTCCAAGAAATTCCTGCAAAGCCGCCGGAGGCTATTGCTACGTTGTGGTAGGTATATTGTACTTTTATTATTATTAGAACAAAGGATTTTCTGGCGTATTGTTATTGAATATTGACTGACTGCCTACAAAGTTCTCTTGCTTTGGAATTTGGATCAGACAGATATAAAAAATTAACTTATGCATTTGCTTTGACCGTCACGAAATTCTGCGGAACAGTGACTAATTTGCACGGTTGATCATAAAATTTATCAGAATGTCATGTGCACAGTAAAAATTTTAAACTGTCACGTAGGCTAATTCGCTACACAGTGTAGCAAAATAGATCTGATGATGTGTCACTTCCTCACTGGTCCACGTATTTCGCTACACAGTGTAGCGAAATACGTGGTCAAAAGGTCAGCCTGATCAGTCCTTTTTGGACACGTGTCACATCCCTGTTGGACACATAATTCGCTACCCTGTGTAACAAATTATACATCAGAAGGGTCAGTTCATGTCAACTCAAAGTCAGGCCACGTGTTACTTCCCCACATAATTCGCTGTACTACAGAGTGAATTATGGGGCTATTTTTGGTATGACTCATAGCGAAATATGTAATATCTGCCAAGTGTCATCTCCCCACTAATTTGCTAGGGGGTATAGCGAATTATGATGATTAATTTGCTACCCCCTAGCGAATTATGAGCTATAAATTAGTTCATTTCAGGTGTGAACCACCACTACGAAATTTTTCCTTTTATGTTAAGGTTTACTACTTTTGTGTTGTTGTTGAATCTTAGTTTTTTTTTCTATTTTTGTAGGATGAGTGAGGGTAGGAATGATTTAATAGCAACTGTTTATCATAATGGAAGAAAATACTTTGGTCCAAACGGGCAAGTTTTGAAGGTGATGCAAAAATGTTTCGCATAAGCCCAATATGCAATCTTCACGAGCTGAAGAAGTTAATATACAAGAAGTTAAGATTACAACGTGGTCAAACTCTTGCTCGGTTGACCGCTAGATGTGCCTCGGGTAACCCCGTGCAATGGGTTGGTGTGGAAATTGTCGACGATGAAGATGTAACGTTAGTAGTAGATGCAAGCACTTCTGAACACGGCGAGTCAGGATTTATTGAATTGTATGCAGAAGTGAACTACGGTGGACAATCCAGCAGTCAACCGAGCAATCCATGCACTGACATCATCGACATAAACATGGTGCACGTGGTTAATCTAGAAGTTGAGGTCACGTCCCCAACGCTTGCACCACCAACTCAAGAAATTTTTTATGAAGCGGTTCCAGCCAACGACATGTACGATCCATCTTGGCGTACGGATAGTTCCGGAGAAGAGCATGATGAAGGTCTTATTCCAGGTAGTGAGTCATCGGATACGGATGTGGATGGTGACTTTGATTGTTGTCCGTCTACTTGAACAACCAATTCCATCGCCAGGCATTGTCGGAATGCAAGATCCTCCTGTTGCAGGTACGTAAGGATTAATGCTTTATAATAAAATATCTAATATCAAATATAACGACATTAATATATTGGGGTTTTGGATATGTTATTATGCAGGAAATGATAATGTACCATTTTGGTCTGGAGTTAGCCATTTCACGAATGTTAATTGGGAATATCCAGATCAAGAATTGGATGATATGAATGGAGCACAAATACCTAACTGGCAGATCGGCGACGAGCTATATAAGGACCAACTGTTTGACACCGAGCAAGATGTACAGATGGCAATTAAACAATATTGTATGGCAAATCATCGCACAACAGTCGTTCTGAAAAGTGATACGAAAAGGTTGATTATGGTTTGTCAAAATCATAACGCGGGTTGTCCAATGAGGATGAGAGCATTAAATATCAACATTAAATAATATACCTAATCATTTATGCATGATTTAAAATTATCACATTTACTAGCCTAAGGTTAGAAATATCAACATTAAATAATATACCACATTCACTAACCTAAAGTTTCAAGTATCAACACTAAATACTATAACATATTTACTAACCTAAAGTTTCAAACCTAAACCCTAAATAATATAACATATTTACTAATCTATTGTTTAAAGTATAAATATAAGATAATATAACCCATTTATAAAAAAAACATAATTAATGAAACAGACATATTATAAAAGCAATAAAAAAAATTACTAACCTTGTAGAGAGAGAAAGCACTTAGAGAGAGAGGGAATGAGGGAGAGGATGAGAGAAAATGGTGGGGGAGGGGTGGGGACCGAGGGGTTTATATACGAAAAAACTTGCACATAATTCGCTACCGAAGGTAGCGAATTTGTGCCAAGCTGCCACGTGTCTGACATGCGCAGTGCAGCAGGCGACCGTTGCCACGTATTTCGCTACACAGTGTAGCGAAATATGGGTGGCTTGACACGTGTCCAAAAGGTGACTGACCAGGCTGACATTTTGACCATGTATTTCGCTACATTGTATAGCGAAATAAGTGGACCAGTGATGAGGTGACACATCATCAGGCCTAATTTGCTACACTGTGTAGCGAATTACCTGCGTGGCAGTTTGGAAATTTTTACTATGCACGTGGCATTCTGGTAAATTTTATGATGAACAGTGACAAATTGGTCACTGTTCCAAATTCTGCACGAAAGGTATATATACATTTTCTTTTAACAAATTATATGGAAAATACAAATATTTAATCGTGTATTTCTCAAAATATATAATTAAATTTATAGGAGTTTGGAAACGAAAATTTTATAAATATAATTTTTTTTATAATGTTTTGCCTTACAACTAAGATTTCCTTTTATAGTTTCTAAAAAATCTAAAAACAATTGAATCTGGGTACGAAGAGCTTTATCAAAGAAATAAAAGGGAAATTAAAATTTACGCTGGACAAAACTCAGGTAAAAATACAAGTCTATCACAATATTTTAAGGTTAGCACATCTAGTATAAAAATATTTATTGTTATTAAATAATTTGATTATATTAACAATTGTATCTGGACGGGTTTTTGTTTCTACCCGCATATATTCGATGACTGATTTAATACTTTTTATGAGAGGGAAAATAAAAAATTAAGATTACAAGTCTTATCAAAATTGATAAGAGAAGTCAACTATTATAAATATTTTTAAGGAAAGGACTAACTTTTTTTTTTGGAGATACAGGAAAGTAGGAAAGGACTAACTATTAACATTAATAATCTATTAATATTAAAAAAAATTATTTTATATATACAATAAAAAAATCAAAATTTAAAGAATGATGACCATCGATCATTACCCCTCGCCCGTGCATATATCATCACAATCATTGAAACTTCCTGATTTGGTGGATACAATGGGGAAGTGAGCAGGTGATATACTGGCTATGATGCACGGACATCGATACGGGATACGGGACACGACACGACACGACATCCCGACACGTTAATTCTAAAAAATACTAAATTTTGACACGTTGGGACACGTTTTGATATTAAATAATATTTATAATACATATAATATAGTTTACATTTAATACATATACCAATTCATAATAAGTCATATAAATTATTTATTTTGCGTAAAAGAATACATAATTTTATGGAAATTCTTTTTCTTCATCTAAGAATGAAGAAGGGAGGTGGAATACAGCTGGACAATCTTCATTTACTTTTATTTTATATAATTCCATTCTGGTTCTCTTGTCTTTTTCGGCATTTTGGCTCTACTTTCGGCATTTCAGCATTTGTCCGAGTCGGTCGAACCATTCTCGTAGCACTGCTCTGTTCTCCATTTCTCCACTCTTGCTGCTTGCTAGTTGCTACCTTGATCAAAACAAAACAAAACAAATTAAAATGAAAAGAGTTTTCACAGTTCACAACGGCGTCAACACAAAAGAGCAACAGTTGAAATCAAGATCCAAAAAAACTTACCGGGTTTCTGATTCGGACTGAAGAGTAGACGACGAGCATAGGAAGAAGAGCCGAAGGCCAACGAAGAAGAAGAGGAGTAGCTCCAGCTTGAAGAGAGCAGAACTTAACGGGTTCTCCATTTCTAGACTTTTCAATTTTTATTTTTTTATATTGTAATTTTATTTTATTTTTACAAAAAAATGTCAAAACGTGTCCTGAAACGTGTCCAAATACGTTGACTGCGTGTCGGATTCGGTCAAAATCGCGTGTCCCTCTAGTCAACGTGTCCCAAAAAGTTGACCACGTGTCGGACGCGTGTCCAAACATGTCGGAACGTGTCCGTGTCGAACACGTGTCCGACACGCAATTTTCTCCAACAAACCCGTGTCCGTGCTTCAGAGTATACCGGCTAAAACATTTTGGTACTCTAGTTAGAAAGTATAAGAGAGGAAAAAGAGTTTTATATAGCATTAAAGTAATAAATTACTTCGTGCCCAAGTGTAAGTTAATACGGGAGAGGATATCCATAAATTGTGTTTGTGATTTATCTCCTTGGGGGAGAGTGAGGGATTCAATTATGTCCCGGGAATCCTTAGTTATTGTCTGATGAGTAAACACCCTTTTTGGTCCCTGACAATATCTACGAAATCTTTTTTAGTCCCTGGCAATAAAAAAGACCAAATTGGTTCCTAAAATTATGAAAAAAGGGCCACGTTAGTCCTTATGTCAACCAACTCCTCTGTCACTAACGTGACCCTTTTACATACTGCTAGAGACCAATTTGGTCCTTTTTTATTGCCAGGGACTATAAAAGATTTCGTAGATATTGCCAGGGACTAAAAATGGTGTTTACTCTTGTCTGATTTATCTCGCATCCTTTAGTTATGTCCATGCATTTGGGTGGTATTATGCTTGAGCCTAAGAAGCATGCACATTGTTGGGCTTGGATCTGCACGATGTGGTCTCAATATCGAGATTTTGGGCGAACCAACCCAATCTCATGTCTGTTGGGGGAATACTGATTAAAGTGTCATTTTTCATCAAGTTTTTTATCTAAATGTCATGCAAATAGTGTTATTTCCTAATATGCCACGTGGGCAAGTTCGCAGGATACTGTAGCAAACTCAGTTTGCTAACGTGTCACGTTTCTAGTGGATAACAAGTACCAAGTTAAAAAAAAAAGTACCAAGTTCGCTACATTGGGTAGCGAACTTGGTTGGAATATGTATTTCAACCAAGTTCACTACCCCGTGTAGCGAATTTGGTGTCCACTAAAAATGTGACACGTCAGCAAATGAGTTCGCTACAGTGTCCAAAGAACTTGCCCACGTGGCATATTGAAAAATAACACTGTTCGCGTGACATTTAAGTAAAAAACTTGATGAACAGTGGCATTTTGGTCACTGTTCCTCTGTTGGGAGGATTTGGTCTTGTAACAGTTTGGGATGGAGACATCTCTTCATTCTCTGGGTGATCATATGCCCCATCCACGTGGCATGCATGTAATGAGCACCGTCGTAGATAATGAATAAATTTTTGGTGCTACTGTTGCATTAAAGTTTAGTGCATTCCATTAATGGAAAAATTACATGTCAGCCAAAATTCATTTTTCTTTGTCAATTTTTTTTTCTCTCCTCTGATGTGTAATGCTCTCATTGATGGGATGCACTGAATCTAGGTACATAATATCGATATAAGATTTATTCGTAGATAACGGTGTTAATTAAGGTCATGGCAAAAAACCCCACAAGTTACCATGATACCGAGTCTTGGAAGGGTTGAAGCACGACTTCGGATTGGATCAAGCCTAGACGGGTTAACGGTGTGGAAGAGGGGTTGTGTTTGATGTGAAATTGGTGGTGCAGAATCTGCAGATGATGGCTTCTTTGAAAGAAATAATGCACGTCTTTTAAATATTGCATTTTATTTTTTAATTTATGAAGAATTATTAGCTAATTACAAAAAATTAAGATAAAAGATAAGAATTCAAAATAAATGAAAGATGAAGATCATGCCAGGGCGTTTTAGGAGAAATAACAAGAGTAGATAAAGTGACTTGCTACAATAATTATTATAATTTAGGTGTTAAATTGTAGCCATCAAAAAATTAGAACGAGGGAGGAAGAGAATTAGAGAGATAGAAAGAAATTATGAGAATTTTCTTGCTGTCATTTTCATTCCACTACTTCTACCATATGCCAGCAGAGGTTGCTAAAACGGAAAGTTCAGCATCAATTCATAATGAAAAATAAACTAAAATAATGATTTTAAAAGTATTAAGAAAAATGTAAGGGTGTGTGAGTTAGGTGTATGTAGTGTAAGGATGTGTGTTCAATTCTCATGTAATGCAAAAAAAAAAAAAAAAAAAAAACTAGGTAATTATAGAACGTAAAGATAATTATATCCCCTGTATTATTTGGGCCAGTAAATGTATGGGCCTCTTTCTGACCCGCTTGAGCCCAATTCGACCTCCTGGTTCATTTGGTGCTTGGACAAGCTTGTGGGCTGTTATTATTGGACACTACATGGTGAGCCGGGTCACAACATAAATTGAAAGATTTTATTACTCACCGGCGTTGCATGCATATATAGGTTAAATTTTGGAATATTACGCACTTTATTCAAATTATATTACATCTTCAAACTACTCAGAAAAAATAAAACTAAATTGTCTCATAATGACTTCGAATAACTAGAAAATTTTGTGCAAAAGGCAAAATTGCAAGTGCAATATAACTTGTAAGTTATAATTCTCTATGTGATTAAAAAAATAGAAACCATACTCACAATCAAAGACTTATATCAGTTGTATTGAGCTAAAAGGGATCATTATCAAAAAATCATAAATAATAACTCACAACTAAAATAATATATAAATTTGAAGGCGGCTACCGTCCTACCTAACCCCTCTCATACTTCACCACCTGTTTATAATAAGATCTAGTAGGGATTTCAAATGAGGAAAATTTCAACTGATTTCAACAATGGAAAAGTTAAACAACGAATGTTGTAATAAAGTAGGAGGACGCTAAACTATATACTTTACATGGTCATGAATTGAAGTTCATAAATATATAATAGATCCAATATACGACAAGAAGTTAATAGATTTAAGTTTGTAAAGAACCAATTCAACCCAAAAGCTTAAGTTATTGATTGAGGTTAAATTAATAATTTTATATATTTCAACACGTCTCCTCACACGAGAGCACACAGTGGATTTGAAGGGTGGACGATGCACAGGCCCACCTCTGCGAAGAAAGAAATTTCGGGCGGCGAGGATCGAATCCGGGACAACCACCCCAAAAGCTAAAAGCTATTAGGTGAGGTTAAATTAATGATTTTATATATCTCAACAAAGTTTATATTATGTAGCAACATGTTTATTTATTTTCCATAATTCAAAATTTTAAAACACAATACGTAGTATAGATTTATGTCTATATAGTTGCCTAAACACAGGATTTATGATGAACTAGAGTCCGTAATAAAATAATGGAACACATATACGTCGAACTCCTCAATACCGTTTCCCGTTGTGAAATCGAGTGAGTGAGTCTTGGCCTGAGCGAACCCACGCGCGAACCGGAAATCCCCGGTGCCGCCGACGATCGGCATCTCCCTCACCGGAAAATCAAGCATGTTTCGGCCCAACAAGCTGAGGGTGCTGCCATTATGTGTCCCCTCCGTGAAAACAAAGGTGATGGTCATGGTTAGCCCCACCCCATCCTGGGACGAAGATGCGTAGAACCCCTGTGCCTTTCCCACGAGTTCGGAGTCAGGTTCAGGAGCCACCGTTAATCGGTCGTCGATCATCACAACGGTTCCGAATGGCAGTGGAGAGTTAGATTTATCCTTGAGGGGCTCCGCGACGGTGACTACGGAGGGGTTTGGTCCTGTGATTACGTCATGGAGGTAGAAGTGAAGGTGGGTGAGCTTCTCCTCTTGGAAACCCACAGATGCCGGTGAGACTCTTCTGGAGTAACTTGCGAGTTCTGAGGAAAGAGTTATGGATTCAGCCATATTAGTGATTGGGGGAAAGAGTTACAGCCTTATGGGAACATGCAATGCTCTAAATTTATAATAAGTTGAGTAGTGATAGAAGAAGTACTTATTTTAATATATATAATAAGCGAACGAAAATATTTAAACTCATCAAAAAAATTACATCTAGGGATCGGTAACCGAGGCCGTTTCTTATCAACTTAATAACAATTGAGTTATCACCTTTGATATTTTAATATATATTTTTAAAAAGTTTATTGTTTCTTGTAGGGTCCATGTAATATATAACTCTATCTTTTATATATATACACATATGTAGGATTTTCTCTTTACCCGAGAGTCATACGAGTGTCACATTTTTATATGTATATAAGAGAAAGTTTATCTTTTATAACATAAGAAATTTTAATTTTTTTAAATAAATATAGTATAATAAAAAAAATAGTGAAGAGTCTCTGTTTTTTTATTTCTTGTAACGTATTGATCATTAAAAAAATTAGGTGATAGGTTAGAATAATAAAATGAGTAGATAAGATGAAATGTCTATTAAATTTTGTAGAAGCACGATGCAATTATGCAACGTGGGTTGATCAGAGCATCTACTTAGGGAAATAAGTAAACAAAGGTTGTTGGTTACATTTTTTATTATCCAAATAGGACGACCATATATAGTGTACCAGGGTAATGGAGAGAGGCAGAGTGAAATTTCTTTAATATAGCGAGAGTATCAAATTAGGTATTTCTTTTACTAAAAAAGAATTTTTTTTTTCATTTTAATTAATTATTTCCTTTATAATTTTCTTTAAATCCCAATTTGTTTCCCCTTTCAATATAAATGTACCTAGAGCAGGAATATCCAGAATATCCAAAATTTTCAACAGGCAGAGCGCTAAATTGAATTTTTTTTATGGGAAAAATGTTTGTCCTTTTAAATGATATAACTTATATCATTTCATTCTCACAAAGAGGTGGAACCCACACCTTTATTTTTTCGTCAACTCTCTCCACCTTTATTTATCTCTTTCTCTCTCTTAAAATAACACAATTTTATATCCTTTAAAATAACACACACTTTATTTTTTTTTATTGGGCCCAACTTGACTTGTTATTCATCCAAAAAGATTCGTTTATCATGCGATTCATGCCGCTTTAGTGCTAGACTGCCATAATATATTTATATAAATGAGGGAATGAAATTTTTTATTATTTTTTAACAGAGTTATATTTATCATGTTATAGGAACCAAATTTATTGTTATGTTAAAAAAATAAGGTATATAATATTAAAAAATTAGAGGATATTTTATTCAATGAATTGATCTTGTTATTTTTTATCATAACAACAAATTTGATTCCCACAACATGATGAATATAATTTCATTTTTTAATATGTCATGCATTAAATTTTACTTATTTATTCACATATAATTTTTTTTGTTAAAATATTTCAATCGGTTCGAGACTAGTTCTATTTGGGGTGGATTCAGAAATTAAGGTTTTAACATGTAAGGCATTAAATTTTAGTTATTTATTCACATATAAATTTTGTAAAATGAAAAAGTAAACAAATATTATTTTAATCACTAATTCTTATTAATTTCTCAATTAATGATTGAAATTTAATATATAATATTAACATATTAAAAAAAATACATTATGTTAAAAAATAAACTCACCTAACAACTTAAATTATTAAATAATAAGAAATTAATAATTTTATATATTGTATTTTTTCAATTTTTAATTTTTTTGTTACTCTTATCAATTTGTACGTGTAGGTGATGATGTCGTTACTTCTTTTTGGGATGAAATTTCATATTACACATACATTGATTGTTGTAAAAATATATATGTATTTTAATTTAATTTATTTTAAATGTTGGAGTACACAATTAAATTATTTACAAATAAATTAATTATGATAATGAATTTGTAATTTTTAATAGTATTGTATTATGGTTTATTCATCTTCATCCGAGTTACCGCGGTCGGCATCTGATCACGAGGCCAAGCCTTCCGATCCCTCTACACATGTCCTTCTTGGACCATACAGGTGGGAGGTACTTCAAAAGAGGACAGAGAGCACTCACGTTTCACAGAGAGTGTGAAACGAGGATAAAATTAGAGCATTGGAGACTTGACGAGGTAAACCAAAAGGGGGACCGCTCATGGTGATATTCCAAGGGAAGATTCATTTTTTATACGTTTCGAAATACGAAATAAAAATATGAAACTCCAATATTTTTTTTATTAGAAGTATTTGTGCATATATTATAATTACCTATAATCATGTTAAGTCAATCCTACTTCACTAATAATTTTCGAAGTCACTAGCCATTTCCTAAGCAACTAACTATTTTCTACTCCACTAATAATTTCCTGGATTACAAGTATAATATATCTGTTGCTTTAATTAAAAAATATAGAAAGCATATATTGAGACTTTCATGACTAGCAGAGCTTTGTTGCGCAAAAAACTCAAAAAGAAATCTAGATCAAAGTCAGATCAAAGTTTAGAGAGAATGTGTGAAGTGAAAAAGTGAAAAATTGAGATTTTTATAGATAACATGGGTCACGCCCGTGGTGGGACGTGTCTCTCTCCTCATTCACGCCTGGGAGTGGGCGTGTCTTTCTCATGCCAGGTCACGTCCAACGGTGGGCGTCTCTCTTTCCTTGATCACATCTGACTATGGGAATGAGTGGTTCTGCCCAATTTTAAACGTGTTTGAGTGCAATAAATTTGTATTTTATTTTAAAATAGTTATCTTTTCATAAATTGCTATTAAAATAATAATATATTATTATTTTTTGCCGAGAGATGCTGAAGACTTGGGGATTTTAATAAATCAACTTCTTTACGATCTATTACTATTTTATCACATTATTGCCATTGCTGACGAGGGAAGACTTTGATAATTTATTGGGCTGCTTGCGTAAAAGTCTTTATAAAAGTATTATTTTGATTTGGGAGAAAAGTTTAGGAGGTCCCGGATGTTACTTGCCCAAATTTAGAAAAAAAAAATTCACTTTACTCCTTTCTTTTCATTTATATTTCATTTATATCCCCAAAAAATTTTCATTTTAAGAAAAAGGACTATTCAAAATACTTGAGAAAAGTTTAGGAGGTGTCGGATCACATGTTCCTTGCCCAAATTTAGAAAAATAAAATTCCACTTTACTTCTTTCTTTTCATTTATATTCCATTTATATCCCCAAAAATTTTCCATTTTAAAAAAAAGGACCATCCAAAATAAATGCTCCCTGTCCACTGTAATTTTTTCCTTGATTTGGAAATGTATTGGTGGTCAGGTTAGGTGGAAATTGAATGGGACGACCATTTTGTCTTAACCAGTTCTTCTACAATTTCACCATTTGAGGAAAAATATCACACACTTTGCAGGTGATCTATAATTACAATTTTTGTTATTAATTTAAGAAGTTATAAAAATTGCACAAATAAAATTTCAATAATTAACTAACCAACAATCTAGGAATTAATGTATATTAATAAATTATATTTGGTCATACGCGCTTTTCGTTACTAATTTAACATAATGAATGAAAGGATTTGTTGGTGTAATAATCATAATTCAGAGATTAAATAATATTTTCCTCCTTTTAAAATATTAGGCATTTTAGAAAAAAATTTATATTTGTTACTTTAAAAGATTAAGAATGCATTAATTAGATTGTTAATTTTATTATTATATCTATGGTATTTCCATTAGAAAAAATAAAAATATCATTGATAAAGTGAAAAATTAATTTAATCAAATTTATATATATTATCATTAAATTAAGTATATTTAATAACTTTCTTAAACATTGTGCGAAAATCTTAAACAATTTGAAACGGGTAAGATATTATTTTTATTTAATTTTAGTTAATTTTAGATTTTTCTCTGCTTTTATGTAGCTCTATTACGTACTATATACAGATGTGTACGTAGCATAAAAATGTAAACAGTAATATTTTTATGAAAGTTAATGCAAACTGCAAGTGTGCTGAAACTAATACAAATGTTGTTGACTAGGCGCTTTTCTGTTCCACGGCTAAGGAATCTCGTTTTGGTTTTTGTTTTGTTTTTCTCTTGTATATCTAAGTTTCTATATATTAAAAAAAAAAAAATTATATTTACAAATTTTTTGTTTACAAATTCTTATAAATTATATTATGTCTGGTCGGTTATATTTCAATCAAGAGTATATGATCAATCAGACTTTGTATAATTTATTAAAAAAATTATAAACAAATTCTTCCCTGTTAAAAAATTGTCAATTGCGTTATTCAATCATTGTGTGTGTGAGTGTATTCTGATGTTTCACCTACCGCCAGCTGCCAGGGTGACCACATCTTTCTTAAAACAAATTTTTTCTTATTTAATTTAGGGAGGTTTTAAAATTTGCATAAAAGGTAATTTTTTTTGTGAGGCAAGTTTCTACTTTTTTTCATTTTCTTTAGGTAAGTTTCTTTTCCCAAATTTTTACATCTGGAGTTTGTTTACTGGTGTTGTTTTGTTGCATCGTTATATTTATTTTTTTCCTTCTAAAAATAACTTTTATCATAAGTTTCTTTTAAATTTATTATTTACCGTTGATTATTTATATGTAATCTTGGTTTATATGATTAATGCAATGATCAATCTATTAAAATTATCAAACAATTAAGTTATTATGTACACGTCAACTTCAAGTGATCTAAAGTAATATCCCACATGCTTTTTAAAAAAATCTCATTTGATTTAATTATAAGTAATTAAATTTATTTCGCAACAATTGATGACTTTGTAAAAGGTTGACTCTAACCACATGCCGTGATTGCATTAGACTTATGCAATAATTTATTTTATGATTATATTAATGGCTTTAATATTTCTAAAGTGAATGTAGATAAATTATCTACATTCGCTCCCAAAATGACGCCGTTTTGAGTTAAAAAATTTAAAATTTAAAATGAAAAAGACTATTAGAACCCTGAAATAAATTATAATTACAAAATAACTTGATTTCCGCCTCAAA